TAACACTCTGACGAAGCACTTCTTGATCTTTAACAACAACTTGAAAATTATTAAAAAGTTGATTCATTTTATCACTCATAATGTCCATGTCCATGCGGAGTGCGGCATGGTTCTGCTCAATCGGCTCTATAATCCCCAGCTTGTTGGCTAGAGTGCGATAAGGATGTAAGGAAGTCATCTTGTAGATTATGATAATAAGAGGCAAAACAGTTAGATAATAATTCCGGCCATAAAACTTGCAATTCATGAAATGCATAATATGTATGATGTATGAAATAATTATCCATTCTGGTTTTTTACAGCTCAGTTAATGTCAGTAATAATCGAGCAACATGATAATAAGAATGACCATAAAAATATCCAAAAATAGGAGAAAATCTAGAGGATTTCAAAACAAGAAGGTTGCGAAAGTATAAGATAAGTGATTCCTTCTAACAAGCCTAGTGGTAACCGAAACAACAATACAATAATTAATCTCTTAGATCTGAAGAGTGCAACGGACTGTGCCCCGAGTATTCAAAACCAGACTTTGAAACACCTCATCCTTCTTGAGCATCATGATCTTCAGACTACAGAATCGAGTAAAAAAATCAACATATTCCTCGTTTGTGGAATGATGTTTTTTCACCCGTTATAGCCTTCAACCTGCTTTTTGGGATTTTCAATCTTCTTGTTGAAACGTGTCATAGACTGCGCAACAAGTACCATCTTTATGCTCTAATAACCATGAAGTATGAGGGTAGGCTACCATTATTTCTCCACTTTTACATCACATCACTAAGGCCCAAATAAAGTGCCTTAGAAACAACTTCGAGATTGGGCTCATTTGGAAGAGCAACAAACATATGATCGGTGATATTGAGCAAATGAGAGTACTCTTTCAAAGTCGGAGCGATCTGATAGTCCTAGAGGCTGAAATAGCGTAACTCATAGTCGTAAAACTGAGGTAGAGTTCGGAGAGCTCCATTATCAACTCTGACAAATAATATAGTCAAAGTACCACCATGTCTTTCACTAAAAGCCTTTGCATTAGGACAAACTAAATGGTCTTTCAATCCCTTCAAAGAAGGCCAAGAACTTGAGCGGATCTGATAAGTAAAATTGTCTCTTATGTTCCTCTTGGGAACACCAATGTTGCTAGACATTACTGACGGAAACTATAACTTCGTGAGATACCCCGGAATGGACATGCGCATGCGAGGTTAGTATATAGTTTCATTTTTATGACATTTCTTTTTGAAAAGTAAACATGCTATGATGTAAATGCAAATGATCATGGGATTACTACTTCCATGATACTGGTTTCTGTTGTATTGTCTTTGCATAGTCTGCTAGTACCAAGATCACAAGTTTGGGACATAACCGAAAGAACCTCATGAACATCAAACTCGGAACTTAGAAAATACATCTGAGAACCTCCTAGTCACCAACAGAAATCCAGAACATAATCATTAGAACAAATAACCACCATATGAACATGAGTAACCATCTGAACATAGTCACCATCTGTATCTGTGATAATAATTCCCTCCCTACTCACGAGTGTAAAATAGGTCAAGGCAAGGCAAGGGTAACTCAGAATCATGGGTCCTCCTAAGGCCACTATCATCGAAACACCTACGTGAAACGATAGCATCTCATTTGTACTTCAACTGAGCGTGGACGACATGATCGTACTAGAAAACCAAATTCGACTAACCATTCATGTTCCACTCTATTCCTAGGGTTCCTAGTGGTATACAAATCTAGCCTAGGTATTGGGCCTTTTACCTCATAGTAACACCTACGACAACAGTGAAACAGATATAGTACAGTAGTAGTATATGGAAAACAGTAAAATGCATTGCACACATATGCTCAGGTAATCATGTATGAATGAATAAACTATAAATCATATAAATAAAACACACAAAGGAAAGGAAAACAAGAGCTAGGAGTGAATCCGGGATTGACCAGTATTTGGTCTTCCTATCCCCAATGAATTCGCCAGCTGAAACAACAGGATGAAGATCATCAAACAATGAAGTCGCCATCGAACGTCCTTTACCCCACATGAAGGGAAATGTAAACATTGAGAAAACCTGAGAAGGGAGAAGTCACGGTCTTACGACCGAGAGATCGGGTAAGGGAGTCTATTATGCAAGGGGAAGGTATTAGCACCCCACACGCCCGTAGTACTCTTTGGTATCCACTCTTGTTATTTATCTTATGGGTGTGTTTAAATTATGCTTATTGTTTGCTACTGAGGACGAATGCATGCAAAAGAAATAAGAAAAGAATATAGGGAAAATAAAGTTGTACTCACTTGGGCCCTACCTCAATGCCTACGTATCCTTTTTGAGGAATCAGAGTTACCGTAGTTAGGCTCACATGTTTTTGTATGTTTTGTGTTTTTACGAGCAATGTTAATTTCTCCTTCTGCCGCAGCTCGACCTTTGGAGACTCACACGTTGGCACAAAAGTAAATTAATCATGTCCTTACTGAAGATGGTTTTGAGTTACGCCCTCGAGGCAAGATGCCACATTTAATTGGTTTGTATTTTGTCACCTTGAAAAAGGGTGTAAGTTGTTAGAATGTTTTATGTTTTGTTAAAAAAGGAAGTTTTAGTTTTGAATGCAAGGATGCAAAAAAGGAAGAAAAGAGTCTAAGGGAGACTAACCTATTTCTAAACCTAGTGTTATCATACAATGGTGGCCCTACGTCAAGGATGAAAGGGAAATTTTTACTTAATGTTAGCATGCATGGTTTGCAACCTAAGGTCTAACTTGCACCTGAAAGGAGCAAGTGCATTCTAAGGGAGCATGGTATGTACAAGGATAAAACAAACAAGCTCGAAAGAGTACAAACATAAAACGGTAAGAAAAAGAAGTGAAATGCTTTAGTCCAAGGGAGCGTATCACCTGAGGAAAACAAGCGGGAGTAGGATGTAAAACAAAAATGTGACGTCCAAAGCGACTGAACACCTAACCAAGATATAGGAGATCGAGGTAGGAGACAGAAGGAAATATGAACGATCACAGAGTATCATCATCAACCAATGAAAACTCCTGACAAAGCTTAGGGGTTTGATTGCGGAACCCTTCCCCACTTGATGACTCGATAACAAGAGCAGGCATAACTCTGAAGCATCATGGTGCATCACGAACTAAGGATGACACAGATGAAATTGCGAGAGTTGATTGTGAACCCTCTCTGCTCTTCTCTTTTGGAGGACTTATCACTTGTACATATGCAGGTACAAATATAAACACACATGCAGAATACCTACTTTAAAGGTAGAGTTTTAAACAAACACAAATAGCACACAAAAAGCACACAATGGGGAATTTCCCTAAACAGATCTTTAAATAAACCAGAGGGATTCCTAACATGATCAGCAATGGAGATCCCCTTCATACATCTCTACCCTACTTCTCATGGCATCAAAAAGTAGTAAAGTTCTTACTTCTCATGGTATCTAGGAAAGCGGTAAAGTGCGAAAAGGAGGAATAAAAGTGAAGCCTCGATAATACCTAATGGAGAAGGTCTGTTGCCTCTTCGAAATCACACAAGCAAAGAGAAAACCCTACAGAAGTTGCTTCGCACAAGTGATCAAACGAATTAATTCTCAAGTATTCCATATTGTGAAAATTACACCAACATTATATCATAAATCTTAGCTAAAAATGACAATGAAAATTATTAATAAACATAAATTAATAGAAAACTTTAAGGATAATTCTAAAGGGAGACCTTAAAGGGTTCTAAAATATTCTATTATTTTTTCATCATTTTCATCATCAAAGTTATGAAAAGAAAAATAATATATATAAAAACAAAAAAAATCCAAAACAGAGGGGTGTTGAAATCTGGATTAGGTATGTAGTGAAGAATGTCTGATGCTAGGCCCATCCAAAAAGATCCAATAAGCAGTATTTTGTATATGGATCCATGTTGTACTAAAAACACATTTAAGATGGGCATGAAGGATCTTCGGCCCAACTAATTCCAACGTCATCAATAATCTAATCAAAATTTTTTATTTACCATTGAATTGAAAATTTAAAAAATAAATAAATAAAAATGATGAAGCATTGTTTAGAAGGGAATTAAGGTTTAAATGCATCCCCTCTCAACTTTCGTGACATAGAACTCTCTTCTCCTCTTCTCGGCGCCTTTAACCCCAACCTTCTCTTCCTTCCTCGCTCAGCAAACACCATTGCCACCTCCACAAATCCCCCTTCGTATCGCACCTCCGCCTCTCTCCTTTTCCAGTTCTCCTTAAATTTTGAATTCCTTCTCACCTCTTTCGTTTGTTATCTTCTTCATCTAACAAAACAGATGCATGGAATAGACAGAGGAGGTATTCGATCCAATGTGTTTTGATGCTCATCTTCTCCTTCTCCTATAAAAAACGTTGCCTCAAAAACCGAGGGAGTACCACCTCCAGCCCTTCAATCGCTATAATGATGATGAAGAAACAACGAACAAGCATTTTCCAAAACTCAGGTACGTTCTTGTTTTATAATTCCTCTTCTCTTCTTCCCCAATTTCTTCTTCGATTTTGTGCTTTCCTGCGTTTCTGAACTGTTTTTTATTGTACTTGAGCGGTGATGTCGTTGATGTAGATTGAACAACAATGAAGATGATGATATTGTTGCAGTGTGACGAAAAATGAAGTGGTTACGAAGAGCTTGCAGATGAAAATGATGATGGATATTGAAACCAGTTGAAGGTTCAAGATGATTGGAGGATATGTTGTATTGTGAAGTTGCGCTTGAAGCAGATTAATGATTGAAGATGCGTATGATGATGAGAGAGATTCAAATTTGAAGAGAACCTTGGAAGTTGATGATGATTATTGATGGAGCGTTATGATTATTGTATTTTGTGGTGCTGCAATTGTGAAACTGATGAAGAAGATTATGGAGTGTCGAGAAAGAGTGAAGGTGATGATTATTGAGGTTGCAAAAATTTGTTGCGGTTTGATGAAAATGTAGAGAGAATGGTGGATTGAGAAATGATGAAGATGAAGAGAGTGAAGGAGATTCTTGCAGAGAAAAGGTGAGGTGAATTTTCTAATATTTTTTCTGTTATGTTTCTCTGCTGCTGGAAGTTTTGTTTTTTGAAGCAGTTAGGAGGCTTAGTCAGAATTTGGTTAGTAGTTGGTTGGTTCTATTAACAACTAGGAAGGTGTTTCTGTTACGATTCTATTAGAATTCTGTTATAGGTTATAGGAGGTTATGGTTAGAGCTTTGCTAAATTCTGTTAGTTAGGATGTTGGTTGAGAACAATTAGTTATTATTATTTTTTGGTTATTTTCTATTATACTGAGCTGGATTTCTTTTATGATCTGTTTGAAATAAGTTACAGATGGATTAAATCTGAATTGTTGAATTTGTATTCATTTCCATAATTTGGAGGGTGAGATTTGAATTAGATTGCACTATGAAACTTGATATGAAAATCTGACTTAGCTCTGAAAAATAAACTAAAGCTGAACTGGACTTTTGTTTTTACTAGTGAACTGCAATGTCAAGGTTTTTTTGATATGTATTTTCCCGACTTTTCCCCTAAATTGAATTGTGTTGTTAATTTACCATGAACTGGTACATCAATCACTTTTTTATTTTAGTCATGAGGCTGTTAGAATATTCTGGCTTCTGAATTGGTTTATTTCCTCTCCATTCCAAATTTTCCTGGTTTTGTTTTATGATGTTTTTTGGACAACAAGATATTTTATTCTCTCTTGGATTTATGTTTGGTTAATGGTCATATGCAAGGCGAGTTGTCTGGATCTGATTCCGTGTAGATGCAGGTTTGGAGCAAGACTCCTGGAACTTATCCCTGGTGTATTATTGAAGCACCATATTCAGAAAAGTATGGCAGCATGTATTGGTGTAAGTCATAGCAATGTTTTGGGGCTGAATCAAAGATGTGCCATGGAATCTTGGAGTTTTGACTTTAGATTTAGACAATCTGATTGATTTTGTGTATTTCTTATGAAGAATTTATAATGAACTCGTGATGTTTGTAATGAAATTTAATAGCTTTTGAAATGAATCAACCATGTACTTTAACTTGTAATTCACCAAGGATTCGAAATGATTAATGGTGTCTAGTTTCGTGATGGTTATGGTGTAATGAACATAATGTACGACAATTGAAACGGAAATAAACTTGAATCATTTTTGAATGAAGTCAATGGATGAACTAGTTTGATTTTGATATTTTTGCTTCTTCAATTCCGAATGAACTCCACTTGAATGAATCACATCTTAAATCACAACTTGAGTATTGTTGAATGAATTTTGATGAACTTAGAATAAAAAACAATGTTGAATGGTATTGAAAGTGATAACATGAATGATGCCTTGAATGACCTATGATATGTTGAATCCCTAATGCATTAGCCCTTATATTTGTGTTTGCTCTCCATAAGAAATGCATTCAAAACCAACTTGCCTTCTATGCTCGCATCTTATTAGAGACCCTAATCTCACGATTGAATTTCCAATGATAATGTCTTGATTGTCGAGGAACGAGGCCTTCAAATAAAGTATTTGAATCATGATCTAGACAACCCTAATTGATTGACTGTTGAATAGATGAATCCAATGCGCCAATGCCATAATCAGTACCTTGTGATTTAAACAACAAGTGCACCTTGAATTGATGAAAGATGAATCCCCAATAGCCATCACCAGATAAACCATACTTTGACTAAAGGATGAAAACCCCATAGGAGAAGACGACTTGATTCACCCTCCACAAAGAAAGTCTGAAATCTAAATATTCATCCTTGAGAAAATCAACTGATTGTAATTAGAAATACAGGACAAAAACCCCACCAAGGCTGACCATAAAGGATTATAAACCCTAATTCCTCACTTTACTGCTTGAAGAAGAAACAGAAGAATCAGAAGAATCAAAAGAATTAGGCTTCATTGGATACAAACAGCTTAACCATTGTGAAACCCTAATATCACACAACCACCAAACATTGAACCTCAGGCACTTCATTGAATAAAAATGCGTGTTATGGAAATGACTTAGTAGAATGTATGCAGATGAATGCAAAAACCTAAGCCAAACAATAAGTGAAAGGGTAGGACAATTTGGGGTATTACAGACAGGGATAGCTCCCAAGAAAAGAAATATGATAAAGACCAAGAAGAAAATGATGGTTTTCCTTTGGAGTTGAGAACCTCCAAAGATCATCCACTTGACAACATTATAGGTGATACAAAAAAGGGGGTAACAAATCGCTCTAAAATAAGTAGTCTTTGTTGTCATCATGCTTATGTATCACAAGTTGAACCTAAACACACCAATGATGCCTTACTTGATGAGCATTGGCTTATTGCCATGCAAGAAGAGTTAAACCAATTTGAAACAGATGACGTTTGGGATCTCGTCCCTCGTCCTACAAATCATTAAATCATAGGCATCTGATGGGTATTTAGGAATAAGCTTGACGAACATGGTGTGATAACAAGAAATAAGGGTCGTCTTGTGGCTCAAGGGTTTAACCAAGAGGAGGGTATTTACTATGAGGAGAGTTATGCTCCAGTGGACCGACTTGAGGCTATACGCCTTTTAATAGCTTATGCTTGTTATAAGAATTTCAAATTATTTCAAATGGACGTAAAAAGTGCATTCCTTAAAGGATACATAAGTGAAGAGGTGTATGTTTCTCAATCTCCCGGATTTGAAAATGATGAGTTTCCTAATCATGTTTTCAAGCTTAAACGTGCATTCTATGGTTTTAAACAAGCCCCTAGGGCATGGTATGATAGACTTAGCAAATTTTTGCTTTAATAAGGATACTCTAGAGGGAAAGTTGACACTACTCTCTTTATTAAGCGTCAAGGAAAGCATATTTTATTAGTTCAAATTTATGTAGATGATATCATTTTTGGATATACTAATATGCATCTTGTCAAGGACTTATCTAAACTTATGCAAGGAGAGTTTGAGATGAGCCTAATGGGGAGTTGAATTACTTTCTCGGGCTAAATCAAACAACTCGATGAAGGAACGTTTGTATGTCAAACCAAGTATTGTCTCGAATTACTTAAGAGACTTAGAATGGATAGTGCTAAGGAAATTGACACTCCAATGGCAACAAACGGTAATCTGGACAAGGATGAAAAAGGTATAGAGGTATGATTGGTTCTCTTCTGTACATTACAGCATCTCGTCTCGATATTGTTTAGTGTTTGTATGTGTGCAAGATATCAAGCGGTTCCCAAGGAATCTCATTTAAAAGTCATAAAACGAATCTTTAGATACCTTATTGGTACCTCAAAATTTAGGATTTGGTATTCCAAGGGAAACCGTTATAATTTGGTTGGTTATTTCGATTCTGATTTTTTTGGTTACAAATTGGATAGGAAAAGTACTAGTGGAACTTTTCACTTGTTTTCAAAATCCTTGGTAAGTTGGCATACTAAAAAGAAAGTTTATGTAGCTTTATCAACTACCAAGGAGGAATACATAGTAGCTGGTTATTGTTGTGCTCAAATATTATGGCTCAAACAACAACTATTGGACTTTGATATTAAACTATCACGTATTCATATCATGCGCGATAACACTAGTGCCATAAATCTAACCAAAAATATGGTGCTACATTCAAGGACTAAACACAATGAGATATGTCCCCACTTTCTTCGTGATAATGTTGAAAAAGGAGATGTTACGTTTGAGCATGTTGATAGTAAAAATCAACATATCAATATTTTCACTAAACCACTCGCAACTGAATCTTTTGTCAATATACATGGAGAATTTGGGACCATTGATATCTCAAATTTTCCCTAGTTCTCTCTCGTTACTTGCATGTTAAGTATTCACTCTAACTTTATGTTTAAGTGTGTAATTCTTTGTGAGTGCAACTTCCAATCCTTCAGCAGTAATATGGTATCGTTTCAATTTCTCCTTGTGTTGTAACTGGTTTTAAAATAAGAGTAGACACCCTTAATTTTTATCCTAAGGAAGGGAATATAAAGTTTAACCCTAAAAAGTCATAGATTCTAAATTTTTGACTTGGTTTTAAAAGGGGAACTCGCCACGATTTTTATCATATTCCTATGTATCCTCTTATGAGGAATCATAGTCCTAATTCGTACTTCGCAAATGGTTTGTGTTTTTTATGAATTACGAAGATATTTGAATTTCCCGCATCCTTGGTCAAGTTGTGTGAATAGTGATATATTTAGACAAAGCGTGTAGTTAATTAAAATATGCTTCGTAGTCCTTTTCGAAAATTAATTGTTAGATTAATTCAATTATGAAAAAACAATTTATTGTTGGTAAAATGTTTTTTATGTATTAATTGTGGAAAATATCTTTATTTAAATGCACGATTAAAAAAATAATTTAATCCAATAAATAAAATATATTTGAATGTGTATGTAGAAAAAATAAAATTTTATTTATTATAATAATAAATATAAAATTAATATAATTTATAAATATATAAAAACATAATAAAAAAAATTATAAAAAAAAATTATAAAAATAAAAAAATAAAAACGCAGGGGGGGTGAGAATCTAGTTTAGGAGTAAAACAAGGAGGCACTAACATCATAGGCCTGAATTCAGATATTAAATTCAGGCTCCAAAGACAGAAGGGTGCTTTTTAGAACTAACCAGTAAAAATGGAGGTGTGTAAGGAGTATGCCCAAGTCCAGATTTTAGACTTGGCCCATTTGGCCTGGGGTATGTTTTTTTGCGCTGATTAATAAAAAAAAACAAAGGGAGCGTGTTTAGATATGGGCCAGGCCCAAAAGGGTTGGGAGTCTGTTTGGACTCTGTATCTGTGGTCGCACGGTACTACTGTGAGTACGCATGTTGGTGACACATGATGATGGCTAGATGTCTATGATTGAGAGTACACGGTAATAAACATGAGATGGAATGTATGAGATTGCTGGACAAAATATATTGTTTTACAAACATTATTTCTTCATTTTTCATTTTTCATCCCTCTTTCTCAGCCTTGTCTCTCATCTCTTTCCACACAATAAAACCCCAATGCAGCAAATCCCTAACCCCAA